AATTTGCTATAGGAAGCAACATTCTGCAGCTACAAGTAACGCGTCGGTATGGTTAAAATGCGTTCGCTGTCAGAAAAAATCCTCTTTTAGCATCTAGAACAGTTGCACTTGTTACCATACGCGTTAGTTATGGCAGCAGAATTTAAATTTCCATAGCAAATTGTTTGCTTTTGCAACTAAAATATATTTGCTATGTCCATGTGAACAGAGACTTTAGTCGTGGGAGCAAATTCTTTTTCTCTTCGTGCGTGCAGTTGACAACAGACAACCGGATCTAGAAGCCGCGAGGCTGAGATTCAAGCACCGCTATCCTCTCCCTGCTCCCTGCACCAGACTTCAATAATATTGTCTATCTCGGCTGAATATGGCATTTAAACATCATGAAAATTCGTCTTTCACACTGATGAACCAAGTGTTCAACTGCTCAACACTTTCAAGTGTGCAACTGCAAGTTACACACTTTCCAGAGTGAAACTGCAAGTTACACACTTCCAAGACTGAAATTGCAAGTTACACACTTTCAAGAGTGAAACTGCAAGTTACATACTTTCAAGAGTAAAACTGCAAATGTTCAATTTGGTAGGTGTGCACTTGCAAGTGTGCAACTTCCTACACAGTGAGCGTTCAATCTATGAAAATGTTCAACCGAGGAGTTGCACACTTGCAAGTGCACACCTACCGAGTTGAACACTTGCAAGTGTACGACTGTGGAGTTGCACACTTGCAAGTATTCAACTTGCAGTTGAACACTTACAACTGTTGAGCAGTTGAACACTTGGTTTATCAGTGTACTATTCTAAAATCATTCCGGCCCTTCCCGACGAAAGATCTGGCGAAATACGCGAAATCAAAAAAAGAACGTTTCGGAACGGTTTTAGGCAGCGCCTGGTCGGAGGGCGGTCCCCAAGGGAGAATATCGCTCGGCAGCTTTTGATCGGCTCCAGCTCTCGAGAGGGAGGCAAGTGGCACCTTTTTTGAATTTTGGTGATGCACTCAAGCTTCCTGAGTGCAATGCACTTTG